AAAAGATATCCCATAACACCATCCAGGGGGGGGGGGCTGGCATCCCCTGGTGAGAGTGCGTGCGTGTGCCTCGCATCGATATAGGAAGCTTGTATCGGGCAGAGCGCGCAAGAGGCTTGATGCGCGCGCCCTTCTTTGGCTTCCGAACACAAAATAGGCGTCACTCAGCCTCGCTGGCACTCAACGTTTCCATCAGACTACTTGTACGGTGTACAGATTTGTATTTTTTTTTTTTTTTCTTAATAATTTTTTCTTTTTTTTGTTCGTCGAGGTTGGCTGGGCTGTTGGCGAGTCTACGATACGTCAGATGTGTGAGCTTGTGAAACTTCACGATTGGCAGCTGGCAGCCAGCTGTGGGTTGGTCCTGCTGCCTGCTTTCCTCTTTTCACCTCCCCTTGATGATAACGTTTGTTCACAAGCTCAATCCGGAGGAATCACTCGTAGCATGAACAGCTTGTCAGATAAGCTTGTTCCGGTCTAAACGATCTTCCCCGCGTCACCAACCATGGACGCTCCCCCGTCAAATTGCTCAGTCAAGCAGAAGCGTTCATCCTCTCGCGACGCCGTGTTATCCACCGTCCCGCTCACCTGGAACCGATTCACCACTCCTACTATAGGGTCCTCGGAGAGCCAAGAAGTACTTATTTGTCTTGCGCACGCAAACTCCCCCGCAACCCCACAGTAACGGTGCCACCCCCTGTTTGTCGCACCCACGCTCAACGGGTACAGGACCAAACTTATTCTCACCTGGCCAAGGTACCCAGTTGTTCCGCTCTCGATCAGCGGCTTTTCCACCGCCAGACACAGCCGGTTCACATGCCTTTCCGTTCAAAGTGGCGGGGGCAGAAGTCGTCCCCCGTTTAGAACATGGTCGTTATGGGCGAGAGGTGAAAAGGTTTGGTGGAGACGGGGACATGAAGCGCCAGTTGGTGGGTGTTTGCGCTTAGCGAGGTACGGGAAGGGAAGGAGAGGGTTGCATGAGAGATGGCGTGGCACTGCCAGGACCAACAGCAGCAACAGGGCAGCCGTCAAGCGCAACACACCACAGGTTGAACGGCCTTCCGATCAACAAAACATCACCCCTTCCAGCCAGGACAGAAACCAATGGCACCGAGCACATACATAACAACTTTCCCCTTCATGTAATCTTGCCCGAGTGTACGGTTGAAAAATCGAACCTCCACATCGGGGCGGAATCAGGACCTGGATCACGCCGGTGTTGTCGACTCCCCTTTTCAAGCAACCCGCTCCCCCCCACCCCCACCCCTCACGGCGCTTCGCACTTGGTGATGCCAGAGTCTGGTCCGGCGAAAACTCGGCGTGCTGCGTCCCGGCTTCGTAGGGATGCGAGGCCAATGGTTGAACGACTACGGCATGCACGGCTATGAGCAAACCTCACCTCCGGGCATCAATGTTGTCGAGGGCGTTCAGGACGAGGTCGAACTTTCTGATGAAGGCCATCCCGAACTTGGCCTCCTTGACGTTGCCATGGTGGGCCACAATCCTCGCCTCGGGGTTGAATTTGAGCACCGCCTCTCTCGCCATCAACGACTACGTCCATGCATGTATGCACACATCCGCAGTGCGTGAGAGTCGAGCATCGGGTGGGGATACGCGGCGAAGGAGAGGAATTGACGGCATGCGTCGTTGTAGACGCTGTGTTCTTTTCGTTGCTGTTGCCCTTCTTGCATTTTCTCGTTGTTTGATCCTTGCTGCCGTCATCGTCGTCGCTGTTGTTGTCGCTACTGCTGTAAATTTTGCAGTAGTCTACGCAGCAATACTGATGAAGAAAATATATGGGATAAAGTATTCAATCCGTGCTTTGGGGTTAGGGTTAGGGTTAGGGATATAGGGTCTGCGTGCCCCCTCCCTATTAGTTTTCATGTACAGTAGATACTCTAAAATTCCTGCGTAGGTGGTCCAAATTTTAGGTGGTCCAAATTTTGGTTTGGTAAATGCTGTCGTCTTAGTTGTCGGGTGCTGTTGTTGCACCAAATTCCAATCATATTCCTACCCAACATCTATCGCCGTAGTGTCTACCACAATTCAAAACGAAACGAACTGTAACCCCCTGTGTAACGTCGTTCAACGCCAGGAGATACATACCCACACGCACCTTGCTCTTGTCGACGTGGTGCGGTCGGAAGAGGAACTGCCTGTTCAGGTTGGACTTGTCGATCGTGTCCAAGTCCACCACCTCGATGTCCTGGAAACCGGTCTGCACCAGGTTCTTCAGCAGCTCGCAACCTTGCGGGTGGACGTCGCGAGTTTGACAACGAAAACAAAGACAGATTACCAGTGGATGTGGCGTCTTGTGCGAATGTTTGAGGTTTGGGACAAACGAAAAGCAGAACAGCAGTGCATGTGAGGGCGTGGTGGCTGGCGCCCTGTGTGGATGTGTTGAAACATGACAAAAAAGTCCCCAACAGATCAGTGGCACCTTCTGTACCCGGGTATTTCATCGGGAACGGCGCAGCAGAGGAATACAGAACAAGAACTCCTACCGCATGTTTTAAGGATAGACCGGCATCCAACCAAAGACTATAAAACTCCGCAAAATCTGGGTCCATACCATTCACAGCTCACTGCTGTACGCGCCGTCACAAACGCAAGCCCTGGCCATGCCGGTGTACAAACAGGAGCTGTTCGCTGCCTTTGACGCCCCGCATTGCTGGCGATTGGGTCTGCGGTGGCGCGTACAGCAGTGGGTTGTGCATGATATGGACCCAGATGTTGCAGCGGAGTTTTCGGGCCGCAGCTGCAGCCTCTTGACGTTGCGGCACCCAAACAGATCTGGGCTTTTGCCAACGCTCACGTCTCTGCTCCGTCACGCCCTCTACCGATTTAGCATCCAATATATACACTTTCCGAGTCGGAGACATACACCGGACACCGAACACCAGGCCACATTCAGCACACGCTTTGAGCCGTGGCGCGGTCCGTACCAGGTTGCATAAGATACCACACACCCCCTTCGGAGCAATTTTTTAAGGCTCGATTGCTCCACGACGAAGAGGACCCAACAACCAAATGATGAGTGTTCGCAAAACATGTCAACGAGACGACTCCAACGCCTCCTCCCGACAATTTCTTTGCCCTCACTGTTCTTGCTCTGAGTGCCGTAAGAAGCGGAGAGATCGCAGCCCCCCCTTATAACACAGGTTTTTCAAAGATCGACTTCTCCATAACCAACAGCAGTGTGCCAAAAATGGTGGTGTTGGAAACATCTCGTCTAGGGCTTTCTGTACAAGTATCGGGCTCTTTCCGCACCTCCTCGGTTGTGGAGAAATCGAGCTTTGAAAGTCGGTCTTGGGGGGGTGCCATCTCTCCGCCTTCTACATACGGTAATCGAACTTTGAGCATCGGTCCAGGGGGGGGGCGGTGCCTTCCGCAACAAAGGGTAGGGTACGTATTCCAGTATTCGTTATTCGTAGTTTGCTCACCGATGCCTCCCGCTCCAACCACGAGAAGCTTCGCCTTCTGCACCTTGTCGAACAGCTCCGTGCCCTGAACGGTTGATGGACGGGACACGTGGGTGAGTCATATGGGATATACATAAGTCGTCGGCGGGGAATGCGAAAAAACGGCGTGAGATGGATGGCGACTTCACGGGATTTTGAATGAACGACGGGTGGCCCGGAAATACTCCTCTGCTCCCAAGGGAACACAAAGATTTCAAGATTTCCGTTCTGCGTTCCGGTAGTACTGTAGTCGTACTTCCGTGGCCGTGGTCTCGGTTGTGATGGTGGGTATGCCACGCGTTGATCGTGTGACATGAGTACATAAGCGCAGCCAAGGCGTGCACAATACCACATGCACGGCAGGCTCCCGTCTCTACTGCTGTCGTCCTGCTTCAAGCTACTCTTGTGCGTGCCAGCGCTGGATTGCCACGCACAGGATAGAAACGCGAACGGGCGTCAGGCGCAATGCCAGTTGTTGCACTGGTACAACGAACCGGCAGGGGACGTCGTCGGGGGAGTGCAAGCAACAACGGGCTCTTGCATACCGCGCGACACACAGACAGCATGAGTGGCTCGGCCTACAACAGCAGGCAATGGACTACTAGATACGTATACCTTGACCCCGCGTCACTTCATGCATTGGTCACCAGGGTAGGGGTCAAATACTCAAGCGGGACTCGACTCTCCGTGGTCGTCCTTCAGCATCCTTGCAGCATACCATAGGGGTTATGCCTTCTCTCTCAGCAAGCATTTGCCCCGGCTGAGAGGGTTTTGCCGAGACAGGGCCACGAGGGATTTGAATTATTGAGACAGGATTTTAAAACGAGACCTGACACCACCTGACACCACATACTCTTGGGTACGGCCCCTTACCATCGAAGCTCGAAGATGCGAGTAGCGGTCCATTGGTACTGCCGTTTCCTGTTGCGCCATCTCCAGCTTCCGTTACCTCTGCTTGGGAGGTAGAAGTGGCACACCACTACTGCTAGTGAGTGTACTCGTGGAAACGAGTTGAAACAAGCAAACAAACAAGGCAACGGGGGGGACGCAAATCGACAACGAGCTTGGGGTATGTCAGCTTTATGGGGGTTCGTGGGTTGGGAGGGAGCCCAGAGCCGGTGGGACTTGACCTGTGTGTACTGTATGCAAGTAGCCTGTGTAGCCCGCTGGTAGCTGCGTGGCAGTTAACAGCTGTAGCACTCTTATCGATCCAGGGAGACAGGGGCAGCAGGAGGAAGGGTGAAGGAGAGAGATGGCAGCCAAGCGGCCAATGTCCTCGGTGAGCAATGCACCGCTGCGCGCTTTGATGTGCACATGTGTGTGAACAAGGTAGCAATGTTTGTGCCTGCGGTTGATGTCGATCCCCAAGGCGGCAGGTCTTGTCCCGAAAGACGATCATGTTTCGTATACCGACCATCATGTGCATACATCTGCATAGATGGCCACCGACTGCTGTGTCGTGCTGGAGAGTCAGAGACACTGCGTCTGTGGTTGTGTCGTCGCCCAGAAACAGACTCAACAGACAACGCTGTCTTTGAACTTGTGCTCCTTTGCAGTGTTGTCATGGTGTCATCGCCTGCTGCGGTGCTGCTGTAGCTCTTGCCACAGCCTCTAAAAAATAACTCAAATTCGGAGGTGTATCTTGTGTCAGAACGAATTGGAGCGATCCCTCGTAACAACTAGTAGGTGAGACAAGGTCGCTAGTTGGTCGTCAGCTCAGGCAAGTTGTTGTATGTTGATTCCGAAACAACACACCCGGCGTTTTAGAGTTTAGAGCGTACATGACCTCTTGCCGTGCGTGGTATCCAAACAACGGCGACCACAAGTCACCGCTCGCTGCTGGCACGCCGTGTCTGGGTGTTGATTCATGGCAAGACGCGCTCGAGAACGGTAGCGTTACAACAAGTACTCGAGAGAGAGAGAGAGAGAGAGAGAGAGAGAGAGAGAGAGAGAGAGAGAGAGATCGCAACTCATCAGCGCCCCATCAAAACCAATCACGACTCTGCGGCAGCTGCGGCCCCCGACGCTGCACGCGGACGGCTTCCGCGAGGTCTCGGGAGCGGCGGCGGTTTGGACGGACATGACCAAGGCGTACGGATTCATCGACATCACGTACAAGGTGTGCGAGAGGGAGAGGGAGAGAGAGAGAGAGAGAGAGAGAGAGAGAGAGAGAGAGAGAGAGAGAGAGAGAGAGAGAGAGAGAGAGAGAGAGAGAGAGAGAGAGAGAGAGAGAGAGACAGAGAGAGAGAGAGAGAGAGAGAGAGAGAGAGAGAGAGAGAGAGAGAGGGAGCCTTTCTCCTACCGCCACCCTTTCAACCGAGCATGGCATGTTCTTCACTCGATTTTCCCCTTTTGGGCTACATGTGTGCATAGATCTAGGCTGGACCTTGACACACGGCCCCGAGCCTTCGAATTTGCTTCACAGCAGTCATTCATGTTGTTCGTGCAAGGTTTGCGTCTGACTGCTGCTGTGATCCCCCTCCCCCCCCCTCTCTCTCTCCTCCTCTTGTTGGTGGATTCTGCTTTGCAAAAACGTGTACGCATCAAACATCGCCTCGAAAACCAGGTGGCGTACGAAGACATGACCGCCAAAATCGCCATCAACAGGCCCGAGCTACACAACGCCTTCCGACCGATCACTGTCAACGAGATGCGAAGAGCCATGGACTTGGCCCAGGATGACAGGTACATATGGGCTCTTGCGCAGCAGGGAATATATCTTCCGCGTGCTAAGATTATCTTTCCCTCCAATCGTGACGCCTAATCACGCTTTAGCCTAGCCTATACTGGTTGCCGTCGGCAAATGTTATCCTGTTTTAATAACGTTTTAACACCTTGCAACTATTTTAGACCGCAATCCATCATCCATCCACCCGACCCACCAAATGCGCGAAAAAGAAACGGCGCAAAGAAAAACGTCTTGGAAGGGGCTCGAACTTGCAACGTCGTCGTTCGTGAGTGTTCACGTGGAATTCGGGGTGTACTTCGAGCGCATGCGGCGTGCAGACCCTATTAATAAATCCCAAAAGTTTTCCGCGTGAGGCTGACGGTCTTGTTGCTCTAGGGGAAACCCGATGGATACACGCATCAAAGGACCTACTGAGGGTGATTGGCACGAACAATCCGTGTATTCGGGCAAGTGCATGTTGGTGGGTACAGAAGGAACCAGATTGTTGACATGTTACCCACACAGCGCGTAGTTGGACGCGATCAGCCTAGGCTGATCCCCCGCATTGCACTCACTCAGGCTCGGGAAGAAGTTCGCGTTAACCGCGGGTCTGGACGACCTGTGTGGCACGGGCACGTACGTACGTCCTCCGGGAGAGTCGGAGGTCTGAAGGGTCTAGGTTCCTTTCACCTCATGTCCACCGATCAAGGACGACGATTCTTTTGTTTTATTTTCCTACGCGTACATATAATACACGCATTCAGTACGTACCGTCGAAGGTGACATAACGCTGCTTTTTATGAGAGCTAGAGTTGCAAGAAAAACAAGAGTTTGCATGCTTTTCTCGCTTGGGAGAAGAAAACTATGCAAAGTTTTGCTTTTGACGATAATGACGCGATCTGGAGCAAAATTTGCAAACTTTGCTCGCAATGAAAGTGTCGAACAAAAGTTTCGCGGCCAGACTTTCCGCCAATCCACATCGAACACCTGCCCCTACCACACACACATAGGCCCTCTCCCGCCACACACACGCGCACGATCCACGCGATAGATGAACTGTCAAGTCAGAATACTTGAACGACGAGTTGGAATTTCCTGCGATGGCCACAGCTGTGTAGAATACGTACATGTAGGCACTACGAAGCAAGCATAAATTTGTATAGTAGATTCTGCGCCAACAATTTGTGTTGGATGTGAGCATGATCGAGGTCTTCCTGGCGTGGATTGGAAGGCACAACGCCAGGTTTTGTGCCACCAACTCGTTTTCCAAGCTTTGTTGCACACTCTCGCCGATTTCGCGGGGTGGTGTAGGGGTGTGCCTGCTTCTCGCTATTGCTCAATAAACCAAAACTGATCATGCCTCCGCATTCCAACAGTCCCGTGAAGAAAACTGCCTTTACCCCCAAGTGAGCGTGCCATCGAAGTGTTTTTGACAAATGTTTCCGACCAAAAGCTACCCAAAAGCTTTGACTTTCTCGCAACTTTTTGCTCCCATAAAAAGCAGATGATTCTCGTGTGGTTCCCAACAACCGTTCTTGGCGCAGGCATCTGATTAGTGCCACGCAGCAGTGTTTCATCTGTGTGCGACAGGTTTAAACAGTTAAACAGGTTGATTTTGTACTTCACAATTTACTTTAAGCATTCGACGAAAAAAATAACACCAACATTTGAGGATTTGTTTTTTATTATTATTTGGGCTTTGACTAAGGACCGGGTGCTGGGTAGGCAGGTCTGAGGCCGAGGCCGCCTCCTTGAAATACCGTAACTGCTTTCGTTGCCTCTCCTCTTTGTCGGAGGTGCGGCTTGACCACGGACGCTTCGATAACCTGTTGGTGCAAAGCAGCTTTCCTGCGATTCTACCGGGGCCGATTGTACGGCAGACGAGGGAGCATCCGACCGCTCGCTCTGGATCCCCGTCCATACGTCCCTTGTGTACCGCTATTATCGCGACCTGTACGGGAACGTCACGTACTCGGATTCAGCCACGGTACACCACCATGGTATTTGAATGTATCCACACATGCGCACCGCCGTAACACGAGCACAGCAGAAGGAAGGCGGAGACAAAACTCCTGCGTGGCCTTCCTCCTGTTGTGACCCCGGCTGGTGCGTCCAGAATTGCAACGAAATGTGTCAAGACCGACATCCAGAATAATGGGTGCCAAAACAAAAAAGAGGTTGTCTCTATCCAGACACAAGTATAGAGTCCGGGACAGAATACATTCATCGCGCTGGATGGCCAATCTGTGTTTTACTATCCCCCGATTCTTCTGTGTTGCGGTTGATTTCCGTTTGTCGATAAGCAAGGTCTTTCAGCCGAAATCGTGGCATGTGCGTTACTGTCATTGGAGGGGTGTACACTAATAGTTCCCATCCCGCACACACACAATAAAAGGGCTAATTTGGTTTTACGACTTGCTTTCTCTTGGGTTTGGATTAAAACCCCTCAACAAAAGGGCTAATTTGGTTTTACGATTTGCTTTCTCTTGTTTAGATTAAAACCCGCTTCAAGCAAGCCGCTCACGGGGGACACGTCCTGTGCTGTTGTACTATACAGATAGGGACGACATTTTCCTCGAGCTCGGAAATGTCGCGTTGTTTACGATGGAAAAATTCTGGAGCGCGAGGTGCATCTCGAACGAAAAAGAAAAGCGTATGCGCGCGCGAGCACCGCCGATAGAGCGCCTGAACCGGAAGACGCTGAAAACATGACAATAGGAAAGTATATACAAAGACGAAGTATGTGCCAACAAAAGAAAAAGAAATATACACTCTTCAGTACAAAATAAAGAAAAAATGGCTAAACGAAAAAAAGCTGTCTTTTAGCGGGACTCGAACTTGCGACCTTGCGTTCGAGGGCGTTTACCCGAATTTTGGGATGTACTTCGACCAGGTCCGGCTTGCAGAGCCTACACCCCACCCGTTCGCCGCGTGAGGCTGTCGGCCCTGTTGTTCCGGGGGAAGGCTGGAGATATTTTCAACGAGGGAACCACTAAGGGCAACCGATGCGGGCAAACCCGGCACCGGGGCTCCTTGGGGTTGAGAAGGAACCAGATTGCACATCTAGTACCACGGAAGTTTGGCGCGCGACTCGGCGATGCGCCTGCCTGCCGGGCACTTGGTACCGCTAGGCTGGAGATGAATCATTCCTCCCGCCTGTGCGGGGAACCTACTACCCGGAGGCCGCGCGTCACCTTGGCGGGGGGGTCGCGCCCTACGAACTACGTGCACGGCGGCGTACCTATGACCCGGGTACGCACGCCGGGAGAGACGGAGGGACAAGGGACGCCTTCTCCCTCCCGCGCCCGCTTGTCGAGGGCTGCCTGACTCTTTTGTTGTTTTTCGTTGTTCCTTCCGTTTTTTGCTGTTTTCTTCTACGGATGAACAAACGCCCGCCTCGTGTTCTCTTTGTTTTTTTGTTTTTTTGTTTTTTTGTACTTTTTTATCATGGTGGATAAACGAAAGACACGTGACCCATCTTCCTAACAAATTAGTTTTTTTAACTGGATTGCACCGGATGTTGCCTAACAACAATAATCAACATGCCGCTTGTGTGTTTGTTCTATTGCCGCATACATCTCTAAACCAAATTGCCACTTCACACCTACCTGCACTCGCCAACAGCGGAGTCGGCGTGATCATCCTGGCGGGGGAGGGAACCCTAGCTTTCTGCTCAGGCGGCGACCAGAGGGTACGTGGGAGGAGGGTCATTACTTATCTGGTGGTTGCTCTTGCGTGATCGCGCGACATTCATCCATGCATGCGTTGTTGAGCGTGTGCCTGACGAATGACGCGCACCAGCTCTGTTCCCATGTTGTGAGATTGTTATTCTCGGGGGAACCGATCGACTTAACTCTGTGGTGATGTTATGGTCTTTCCTACCTCCCATGGGACTTGGGGGCACAATGCGAACTGTCTGCCCTGACTTGTCGGTGCACACCTGTTTTTTTTTACGGATAAAAAGGAGATGGCGGCTTCGACTACAGCTCGCCCAAGCGCGTTCCCCACCCGTAAATTTATGGATACCACGATAAAGGACCGATTTCATCTAAATTTACTCACGTACCTTGTACCAGTACAGTACTCAGTTCCGCCAAAATGCATGCATCAGTGTACGAAATTCTACTTCTAATAATGTCCCCCTTGTCATTGAAGAGCCCCCCTAGCTAGCCCCGCGAATCTAGACGTCGAATAAATTCCACCTCGGTGCATTCCCCCGTTTGTTTCGCGTGTTCAGGTGAGGGGGGAAGGCGGCTACGACGATGGCTCGGAGGACGTGCCCCGCCTGAGGGTGCTGGACCTCCACGTGCAGATGCGCCGGTGCCCCAAGCCGATCATAGCGATGGTGGCCGGGTACGCCGTGGGCGGGGGGCACATCCTGCACATGGTGGCCGATCTCACCATCGCCGCCGATAACGCGGTTTTCGGGCAGACGGGGCCCAGGGTCGGAAGGTACGGCCGCTTTCCCCCATGGTATGTATTTTTTTTTATGACGAAACCCACAGCGGGACAGTTTTTTTGGTGCCGCTGCTGTCTTGGGGATTTCGGTGTCCAACCATGCATGGCCCGGGTGTTGCTTTTTCGTGACGAGATCCACAGCAGGAGACACTTCTTTGTGCCGCTTTTTTTTTTTTTTGTGGTGAGCACGCACGGCATGGGGGTGCCTTTGGCGTCCGCCTTGTCGGAGTTAAGGCAGGAAGCACATTGTGACGTCGAAGACATGGCACCCTTCGGAGTAGGATGTGACCCAGAATCGGCTGCGAGGTTTGTTTGTCGCGTTCGACTTTTCAAGCTCGCTTCAACATGCAGCAGGCGGGGCCGAAATGAGCGAACGTGTTGGCTTTTGCGATGTTCATTCAAGGTAACAGGGCCCCAGATGTTGTGATCAACCTAGCTGGGGATGAACCATCGAAACAGCGACGGATGGTATGCATAGCTTTTTCACCACCTACTCTATCCGCAGCACTGGGGGAGGGGCATCGTTTTTTTTGGTATGACGCCTTGTGGCTTCAAATGGCAAATGGCCAGGAACCACTTGCGGCAGCGGTACGCCAACCATCCATCCGTTGACTCAAGAACATTGCTTTGAAGCACTCCCACCACGACTACTGCCGTTTAGCTTTGATGCAGGGTACGGCTCGACGCACATGGCGCGAATCGTGGGGCAGAAGAAGGCCAGGGAGATCTGGTTCCTGTGCAGATACTACTCCGCTAAGGAGGCCCTTGACATGGGGCTGGTCAACACGGTCGTGCCTCTCGACGCGCTAGAGCTGGTACGTCGCGTTGATGTGTAGTTTGAAAAAAAAACACGTCATCACAGATAACTCCCAGTACGTCGCGTTGATATGTAGTTTGAAAAAAAACACGTCATTACAGATAAACTCCCAGTTCGAGACAGTGCCCTATTCTTAGGGACGTGTTGAAGTCTTTAGAGTGAATGTTGAGAATACCCTGCGGGATGCTTTTTACTCAGAACCTGTTGTTCTTGATCTTGCCCTGTTGCCGAAGAAAACATTTGTTGTTGCACTAATTCTACCGGTGCGTCTGGTGCTGCTGCTGCTGCTGCTGTTCTCGATAGGCAGAGTAGCATCGTTCTCGAAACCTCCGTTTTCAATTCAATACGTTCGCTGAAAATCGACCCGCATCAAGCGCCAACGAGACGCTGGAAAAACGCTGAAAACCACTCTCAAAAACGTGCTTTATCTTTTGCTTTCGATCCGACTGCATACTGTGCGAAATAACATGTGCAGGAGACCTTGAAGTGGTGCCGACGAATAGTCCAGAACAGCCCTACGGCGATATCGTGCCTGAAGGCGGCCCTCAACGCCGACGAGGACGGACAGGCGGGCGTCATGCAGCTCGCTGGCAACGCGACGCGGCTCTTCTACCTCTCCGAGGAGGGCAAGGAGGGCAAGAACGCCTTCCTCGAGAAGCGAAAACCCGAGTTCCGGAAGCTGCTCACTTCCAAGTTGTGACCCCACGCATGAGTTGCTGCTGCCGGTTTTCGTCCTTTGGGATGATTGCACAGCAGGAAGCGAGAGGAGAGAGCTGGGTGTCCGAGGGATTCTTAAGGCTGATCGCTTCCAAGTTGAGACCCGACGCATCTGTTCGTTCTCTGGAATGACCGCACAGCAGGGAGAGAGAGAGAGAAAGAGAGAGCTGGGCGTCCGAGGAGTTCCGAAAACTGTTCACTTTGTTGTGTTTTGGCCCGATACGCCGCGGCGTGCCCCCTGGGACACCTGTTAAGAGTTTCCTTGGCTGGGTTCATTGCACCCGGAGGACCTAGGACTATGCTTCCGCCGCGTTTTGGATAGCTCTCGTTGTCTCTTGGTCTTGTGTCCCTTTGGCGTTGCAGAACGGGGACCAATAATTGAAGAATGAAGGGCAGTTGGTTCTTGAGCTTGCGGGGCGGCAGAAGCGGCTGCAGCAGAGCACCCCTCGTCTTTGCATCGCTGTCGGAGGGGGTTTCGTCGAAATTGTTAGATAGACACATGCGCTCCGCATAGCCTTAGATAGATACATACATGCACTCCGTAGCCAATAGAAGTGTTTCATGTAGATCCGCCTTTTCCCGGGCTTGCCGAACGCATGGATCGGAAGGGACTATTCTTGCTCGTGATCTCCTTCGGTTGCTTGGTGAATGCAATAACCAAGAGAGCGGTTGTTGGCATTGAAATGGAGATCGGATCGATTTTGTTGTCGACGGTTGTGTGAAGCAACTTCTTAGAGTTGTGCCGTTACCAAGAAAAGCACTTGCCGTCAGACCTGGGACCCTAAACCTACACGTATGTATGCCCTTTCGGACTTCGTGTCTTGGAACACCGTTTGTCAAATAGGCTTCATGATGGCTGACGGCTGTATTCACGCTACAGACGCGTTAGGGCGTTCGCCAACCTCGACATGACCTGTTGCCGCGGCATGCCAGACAGTGACTGCAACACCCGAGTCTGCCTTTTGTGTGGGTCCTCGGCGTTGCTCTATTGCAGCATTTGGACATGCATCTGGACATGACCCCTTCGGGTCATCGCTAGGTGATATTTTCTGCGCACTCTCACATCACGAGGACATGCAAGCGTTCGAGCAGCCAAGCTCAATAAACGAACGAACACACACACAAAACGCAGCCAGAAAACAACACACACAAAACGCGCAAGATGAGCTTTGGCGGAAACTCTCTATTTTATGCTACCCCAAACAAAAATGACGAGCGAGCGGCTTGAGCGACACCTGGTTTTTCCGGAGATGCCGTCTCCTTTCCCCTTTCAATGCAGGGGTAAAAAAAAATCGTGCCAAAATTGCTGGGTATCAGTACAGTCCTTATTCTACCAGAGAGAGCCCACGAGCCGCAAACTAATGGTCAAATCTAAAAAGTTCTAGGAAATGGAAAGTTCCGTCCCGGGCACTCCAACACCTTGTTCCGGAGACAGCAAAAATGGGGGGGGGGGGGGGGGGGGAGTAGTGTAGGCTCGAAGCATCTCCATTTTGCCCCTTTGCGGTTGGGGATTAGAAGAGCAGGGTTCCGGCAGTCATGAGCACGCCGAACAGCAGGTGCAACTGAGGCGTCCAGCGAGAAAGACAGACGGTACAGAGCAAAAAAAGAAACGCAGAAGCAACAAAGGGGGCGGGGTAGACAAGAGAAACAACGATGTTCGACAGAATGCACGGTATGAGAAACGCGGTAGAATGGCCATGTGCGGATAGAAAAGCAAGCCATAGACTACACTTGTTCAAGAACGTCAGAGGTCATTATCGTCTGGCGCCGCGTCAAAGGATCCGGAACGATCAATACCCTAGATAGCACGTCCACGGAATAAAGAGAAAGCCAGGATAGGATACTGGGCCACCAACAGGGAGAGGAATGGACGCACAAGTCCGGGCACTATTTAATCCTCTCCTGCCCTTGGAGCTGCAGTGAAAACAGACCCGAATAGATCATCGCTGATGACAGATGCAGACAAGCTGGCTACAAGCGGTTATTAATAATGGGTCAAGAAGGGGGGGAAATCACCTTCGCCGTCTTCTCATCCAGGTTGCGCACGGCCTGGATAGACGAGCAACGGTGGACGGGCAGCACGGCGGATAGGATCGGGGAGGGGTGTGTGTGTGTGTGTGTCAAGGAGTTGAGTCCACGGGGAGTGGTCCGACTTCCTCTCTCGGAGGCCGTGAGATGGGCCGATAGATCAACGTTTGATGTTTTCATTTAAAGTGGAAATCCTTGAGGGTAGGACCACACTCACCGCATACGGTAGACAGACAAACGGCGCCAACACTTGATTGATTTTCCACGCGACTTCACGGCCATAACGTCACGCACAAAAGGCGGAAAACAAAAACAAAAAACTCCTGAAACCGCGGCACAAACACCAATCTTGAAACGGTAGGCAACGTGCAGCATCCTCGACCAGCACCCACGCAAGGTGTAGCACCAACAGCCAACAACAGCCAACAACACAGTATCAAGCCTGCTTAGACGGCGACGCATCAATTCTCGGAGTTGTGGACAAGCTACTGAGCACACCGCCGGTCGAGGCACGTACCTCTGGCCTACAATCCTTGAGCGCCGAAATGGCTAGCGGCAGGGTAAGGAACGACAGCGCGGACCCCCTGCTGCCCGTCGCGGCCAAGCATCCGGCCACCACGTATGCCATCCCGAGCAGGCCGAAGTACAGGACCTGGCTCGATCGGAAGCCGATCGCCTGGGGGAGGACGAGGCAGGAAAACGGGAGTGGAAACGAGTGAAAAACAATCAACTATTTCCATCGAAGGGGATGCGCTCAATCCCATGCGTCAGCCAACGACACGCGGACGGCCACTGTAGGTCAACCCAAGAGGTTGGTAGCAAAACGCACAAGAGAAACCCCATCAATCGGTAAGTGCCAAATCTAGGGCAGCACACAACCGTCACCGACGTGATTTCCTTCGTGCAAATCAAGAACCGCGTCCTCATCACCACCGTCAGCGCCGTCGATTGCTCCCTGCGCTACATCCCGCAAGGATGGTTGCTGTTATTGGCGTTGTGGCGAGAGCACCAACACCATGTGGCGAGAGCACCAACACCTTGTGGCGAGAGCACCAACACCTTGTGACGAGAGCACCAACACCTCTCACTTCTTGTGCCGCGCTGGATCTATCACACTGACCCTCAGCACCTACGAAATCTGCCACGTTTTCTCCTTTACCGTTGCCAGGGTAGAAATCCCGGCGCTTCGGTCCTGCTCGATATCCCGCATGTTGTTGGCGTGGAGGATCGCCTCACAAAGAAGGGCGGCGGGGACACCAAACGGCAGGACCCAGTGCTGCACCGACCCGCAGACGAGCATCGCTGCTACCTGCACAGCGATGACACGGCAGATTCACGCGGTAGTCACGGCAAGCATCCGTCCAGAGCGGGATTCGTTCTCAGTTCCACAAAAAAAGAAAAAAGAAAAAAGAAAGAGGAGTGGATTGCCTTCCCACTTCCACAAGCCACAAAAAGCTACTGCAGGAATGAAGCCTCGTTCTCTAACTTCCACAAAAAAAGATAGGAATGGACAACACGTTGTTGAAACGGCCAAAGTCGCGTTCAACGCCGCGGTGAGGAAGTAGCCTCATCCGCTGATAAGCCTAGGCCTCCTCCTCCTCATGCCATGTGAACAAAACGTACTACAATGGGAGTTGGGGTGAGCACACACAAGGCAGTACCGAAAACAGAAGCACGACCACGCGCATATGCTGGCGAAGTATCGATCAAGCAAAGCAAGCACAGAGAACCGTCGACACAACGAACGAAGACACGCCAGGGTGTAATAAAAAATATATTTATGTCGATTTTCTCCCAATTCTACGAAGGTTAGCAGTCGACCCAACCGCTCAGGGTTAGGTTTAGGCGCCACAACAACACGGCTAGGAAAGACATGCAATACCGTCGAGTTCAACAACACCGCACGCGTGGCCGACCTGCATGAGCATGGGCCCGAAGAGAAGGAAGACCGTGATATCCCCCAGGCCACGGTACTTTAGCCTGCGCGCAAGGAACACGAGGCGGGGGGTCAAACATGGCACGTGCGTGGTGGCTTCCTCACCACCATCAGCTGCACATGCCCTATATGGCTTGACCGATGACCACTCCTTCCTTTTGGGACACAGAGCCGTCGCCACGCGCAACAGGGACACGGCCCGATGACCGGACTCTGTCAACCGTGATTCTGTGTGGCATGCCCGAAAGACGCCATCGTCGTTTTTGGCGTTGTGTGTCCGCACGACTGCTGAATGGCGTGAACTACCAAGCATCAAAAATGGCACTGCAGCGAAAAGCGTCGACGCAGTGGTGCTGCACGAGCGGCGAGAAACCGTAGCCCTGTACCATGGCGCGCTGCCCCCCTCAGCCCCGCTGGCCGATGCCGCGTGCTCTGTGTGCATTCAACTACACACTCCTACCGGTGCTAGCGAGTCGATCCGAGTCTTGCAGAGGGAGATCCAGGTGGTCGGGTAACCAAGGCAATCTACCCCGCAACTGGGGCGGTTGCCGTATTTACCGCACCGAGGGTCTTCCACGTCGAAACAAATATTTACGAGAACAACACGGAGTTCCCGACAACTTGATCAACGGCCACATGTATGTATGTGGTACGCACGCCAGACTTCAATTGTGCAGTGACGGTGGCAGCAGTTGCACAGCAATGGTTGGGCCTATAAGAATAGCCCCTCAAATCAACTACGATTGGCCGCTGCTAAGCGAAAGTATGTCACACAAAACAACGATCTCTAATCCTTAGCGTCGGGTGCAGCAGCAGTCGAGACAAGCACCCGTCGCATATTCTCGCTCACCTAAACGGCCAGCAGGTGTATGAAAATACCATGGCCACCCCGACCCAGAACGTGGCCTCCAGCTCCCTGGCTTGCCCGCTAACCCTCATCCTGGAGATCGTCGGCAGCACCGCCGCCACCGCGGCAAAGAACATCACCCCGGCGAGAACTAATGCCCCCTTCGGACTAACGTGGGCATCGACGATGGTCCTGCGACAAGGGGGTGGAATGGAAACGAAACGGTCATACCGGGGATATCCCCCAGATTGAAGCCCATGAGGAAGGATCCGGATGGATTCTTGCGAAGGAGAACTATTGATGTTTCTGGCAACGAGGCGTGGGTCCTCTGTTAAAAAAAACGGGGGGATAGGTACATATCTGCGGGGCCCCGACTCGTGTGAGCCTCGGAGAGCGGTGCCGCCAGCCTTGCGCGCGATCCAGGAAACATCGGCAGAGAGGATGGAGCCTAGATGGGACTAGTACCGCGGCAGTCTACGGTGAACAGCAAGAACGGCCGGCAAAAAACAAGTGCAACAGACGTGTGTGCGCCTGCGAAAAACACAAACGGAGGTCCGGTCTACAAAAGCCGAAACTAAACCATTACAGTGGAGGGCTCGGTGTAGCGGCCCCCTGTTTAGCGACCACAAAATCACGTCGCACTGCCGCATCCCGGTAGTAGCTGCTGCATAGTTGGTAGTTCGGTTCAGCGGCCTGCCCTGAATAGCGACCACATTTCTTCGTGACACTAGGGGTCGCTAAACCGCGGGTCCCACTGTCGATGACGTCGGCTTCGAAAAAAGGCGCCATGACGTGTGCGCCTGCGATCAACACGACAAAAAGGAGGCCAGGTCGGACACCCCGCAAAGCAACACACCTGTCGCCAGCGGTCTCGATGGTGTCTACGCCGTAGTTGTGGTCGATGTACGAGTTCACCAGGTTCCCGGAGGCCTGCAGGGTGATGACCATCATCAAGGCGTTGCTGAGCCCCCCCTTCGCCACCGACACGCCTGAGACAACAGGCAGAGCCGACGAAGAGAAGGAGTGGCAAGAGGAACGACGCGCGGACAGAACGAAAAAAAACAAGACGAAACAAGGCTATCAATCAATACGAGTTCGTGGTATTCGGGAAGTTCTCAATGCATGTTTGGTGCTTGTGCCACAGTTTTTGTTGTCCGTGTAGTTATGGCGTTCTTGCTGCTGTTGCCATATTGTTGGTGTCCCCAACCCCCAACACTGAGGTCCAACAAGTACCAGTACCTCTGTATTGGTGTTGCATTGCTCCGGGGAGTTGATGTGCTCGCCGGGCGACGCTAAAAAATAAGAACAGAAACGTTGACAGGATTCGCTGCCTTCCGTCCAGTGCTTGATGGAGACAAGAAGGGCAATGTAACGTAAAAAATTCACAAGGGCCGCCGATATTGACTTTCATCTGGTTGATTTAACGATCAAGCACTCAATCGGGTGGATGTAAAGATCAAGCGCTCAATGGGCCACCTTGAAGCTTGATTGATGACCAAGCTACGCAGGTATCACCTTCTGCCTTGTGCACCAGGGCACCGGTGAGCAGGACAGGGATGATCCCAGCCGTCCAGCTCCAGGGTCTCGTGGCGGTAAGCTTTCACACAGCACACAGCAGCACACAGCATCGCGAAATTGCGAACAGGCAAATATGGCACCAAAACGACACCGCAACGGGTCAAAGCACAGCAGCAGCAGCAGCAGCAGCCGCAGGGCAAGAAGGAGCAGCGGAAAAGGCAAAGAGAGAGGTAAAAGACGGGTCATGTATGTCGGTATGCAATAAGCTCTGCCGAGCTGTAGCTCCTTTTGGGTACCGTTCTTTCATGCACGCTAGTTAAACGTATGTCAGGTCAGTTTAGCATGATGTCTAGTGTTCCATGCTTTTCGAGGCCTAAAAACGCTTGCCCGAACCAGGAGTGCCGTTCGATCAAACGACAAAACAATGGCCAACATTCCCGGGAGACACACCGGCAACTTGCCGGGTCAGGTGTCCAAGAAGCAGCTATTCCCAAGAAATATTTTTCAGCGGGAAATATGCACTCACTTCCGGGAATCCATATCAAAAGGGGTTGACCGAATGTCGGGGGTGGGGAAGTACCGTAGTTACGCTACCAAATCATCCCCAACCTTACCGTAACTCTACCTCCTCAGGAAACGGAAGAACCCAAGCTCAAGCGTCGCTTCTGTAGCATCCTGTTGCCAGATCGATGTTTTGGCTCCCACAGCACCGCTATCTACTTGTGCACCGCACGATAGGGTCATGTTTTCCCCACCTCAGTATATCTACATAGTGCTCTCATGTGCTGAGAGTGATGTCGAAGCGAACGACCACCACGATCGGGACAGGGCGCGTACCTGAACCAATTCTTCTCGTTTTCAGCCACCACGCGGCTCTCTGCGCTCTACTGCTTACTCTCTGCAGTATTAAGACTAGCCGAGTGGTCGAGTGGTTGTCCTCCTCACCGCACGCGGATTTCCCCCGCCCAGCAGGTATACCGCAGGTCGCATGGGATACCACACCGATTTGCAAAGATCGATTACTCTGCAGCGAAAAACAAGCTGCGACGGTGCCGAGCATGGCGGCGCTGGAACTGCCATGCCTTCCGAAAACGAATCATTTGGTTTTGGCACACTCTGCGTCGTGGAGAAGTCGGGACTCGAAATTCGGTCCAGGTGTGATTGGAATCCTGTGCGACCCACGGCAAGCACACGCACAGGCGCAGCCCACTTGCCGCGACTCTATTCTAACGGCTCACAGGACACCCGCGAGGCAAGGTTAACATGAGTTCGAGGACTAGAGAAGGCATCTCACCATCCCTTTGATCGTCATCGGCTTGGAAGGCAGCGCCGCTTGTTTCTTGCTAGGCCGTGCCCCCCCCCCTCCTCGAAGTGCTGCCGCCGGCGAAAGCACACCGGCCAAATAGTACGCCGTCCAGTGTGAGGGCAGCGTCGCGAACAGGCCGACAAGAGAGAGAGAAAGAGAGAGAGAGAGAGAGAGAGAGAGAGAGAGAGAGAGAGAGAGAGAGAGAGAGAGAGAGAGAGAGAGAGAGAGAGAGAGAGAGAGAGCTCGGTCACTGAGCCAATCTGGTCGACTCGACGGGCCGGTGGGATGCGGGCTTTACGGCGTGGGGTGCACAGACTGCGGGCAAACCCGAGAACCACGAACAATCAAACACCAATGGTCAGTATGAATGCATCGACACTGCCCCATTGCAGAAGCGACGCATGCGCCCGCGGGGATCGCGCTCTACATGACGAGACACAAAGAGCGGGAGAGGTTTCGGTGTACCTCTGAGAGACTATTAATAGGGTGTGGATGGCCGGCCGTAAGACTTTCCTTTCCCGAAGAAAGACAACATGCCCTTGCAACACAGCCGAGGGTCCCGCATGCCAGCATCGCGCAATATTCTTGATCGGTTTTCACATGCTGGCCCTGTATCGATGCCGAGAACTGAAAGCAAGAACACCGACTTACTTGTGTATTCCTCACATTTTGCACTTTGTTGCCACTGGTATCGGGAGCGAAGAAGAGTCGACTCCAGCCGACAGCAGTCAACGTGAGCTACAGCAGAAGTTAGACAATCTTGAAGCAGTCTTGATGCAACATGGTGTGCGGTCGAGCCAGCGTCGCGTACTTCACAGCCAGAACAAGTTTGGCCACAGGAACAACAGCAGTTGAACCGGCTGGATGCTGATACGCACCGCACACGAGATGACACACCCGCACACCCGCTCTTTTTTTTTTCACCCCGCGTTTCTGCTGGCCTCTCACCGCTTCCTACAGCTTGAGAGAAAACCTCTGCCTCAAGCACAAACCCTGACATAGTTTTGCAACCTTTGCTTCACTGCGACGAGGCCTAGCCGCCACGACCAGAGTCACCTGCTGCGTGATATGCTGCCCGGCTCACACCATGTTGAGAGCTCCGCCTGTCATGTTGCTCATCAGCAACACCACCTCGTGCTCCAAAGATGGTCGCGCTGCGGCTGCATTCCGATGGTAACAGACACACGGATAGACGAGTATCGTGATCAGGAGATGCCGGTGGTAGTGGTACGGCTGTGATTCCTGCTGCTGCATAGTAGTTGGCGGTGCCATGCTGGTGCCATGCTAAGTCCTGAGCCCTGAGCCATGAGCAACTTAAGCTTCGTGCCACCGCCCTCATGTAACGTTACTTCACCTGCTGCTTCCCAGCAAGGCTCCACTGCCAGAAGCAATACGCAGCAGCAGCAGCAGCAGCGACAAGGTGAAGCGGTTGAGTCCCATGGCGAACAGCGAGAGAAATATTGGAAGACAAGCCAATGGTGGCGGGAAGTACTACAGGTGATGCATTATGGGTCAGCAAGCAGCAGAGGCAGAGGAGATCGGAGGCGGAGGGTTGCACCACTGTTGCTCAGTGATGCACGGAGCCCCCCGAAGGATCGCATTTTTTTTTCTTAATAAGATCGCAGTTTTGGATACTGCTGCATGTGCAACACATGCAGCCAACTCTTTCCGCGCAAAAAAAAAGACAGAAAGAGTTGGATCGCAGTGTTACCGCGCCGTAGGTCGCACACTAAAACCCACAGATGAGACAAGAAATAAGCGATATTATTCCGAAAATGATTATTGCGCGTGTACAAGTACACCGTTAACCATTTCGTTCGTTTTTCCAGCCTTCCTTTTGCTTCCCGGCGCTCTTCGCTGGACTCTTCCTTTCTCGAAAAGCTCTCAGCAAGGCGTATAAAACACACTTGTTTGTCGTCCCTGCTTCCATTCGAATACTTATTTGCATCTCCAACTAAAAACATTTAACATGTGCGTGCCCCGCAAGCCTCTTTATGGTGCCAATGGTATTCAGTGAGTGAGTGTGGCCATCCATGTGTATTCGCCTGTTGTGAAGTGCCTAAACCTCGATTTATTTATTTGCCACCCATGGGGGGGGGGGGCGAAAAGAACTCCAGACGTTACACGTGACGTCAAGGCACGCTCCCTTGGTCTCCCATCAAATCAATAGTTGTCCTGCGAGTTGTTGTTGTCTTCACATTAAAAGCCGTTCCGGTCTCCGCTCAGTACTTTCAAATGTCCGTACGTACCCGAGTGGTGATTGTTTTTCTCCACAAATACACTCACAAATGAACACACCCCCTTGGACGTGGGAATTCACAAGGTGTTGTTCCAATTTTGCGGCCGATGGTGACCCAATTTTTGTTGTGTTGCGTGGGTCTACGCTACTTTTATCGACTTCGTCGAAGGCCCTTCTGCACGTTGTCGACAGAAAGTCTAGTACAACACAACGTAAAGTCAGAGCGCCCTCAAAACAAAAGACGCAATGGACCGCGGTTATTCCTTAACGTGGCAAGGATCGCGGTAGAGAGACGCCACCGCCCCCCCCAACCTAGACCCCATTTTATTTACTCGGCAGGCAACCGCACCGCGCGTGCGTAGCTCAAGCAACACGAGGCACGAAAGCCGTCAGCACGAACACCTTGCTTGTCTGCACCGCTGAAATTCCCGTCAGTGCGAGCCCCCCAGCACTACATCCACCCCTAACCAAATGCACCTGAAAGGTACGCTATCGTAGGCAAGGCGTCGAGAAACAACGCCCCGATCGTATCAGCCCCTTTTCATCATCACTACTGATGCTGTATCGTCCGAGAGTTGTCAGCACGAGTCTCAGGAAAAGAAGAAACAACGCCAATCACCAAACATGAGCGATGGCTACATAATTGTCGGAAGCCTGTCTGACGATGTATTTTAGCGCCGTGTGCCCAATGCGCAAGCGTTGCAAACACAAGCCGCATCGTACGCGCCGCACTCGGGGGAAAAATAAGCTTCTACTTCTACAGCCTCTCCGCGTTACAGCAGCGTCCGCAACAAATTCGGCTTCGCCAGAGTGGACACAGAACAAAATAATCAGTCCGCGGACAACGTTTTTCCAGCGTCAATATCGCCACGCCAAAAATCTGGCACCCAGCTGTAAGCAGCCTGGTGTGGACAAGCGAGGAGAGCAAGGTATGGCCAGGCAGCACACGCCAAGCGAACTAAGCCTACCTAGGTGCTTCTTTACGGAGGGCAACGTCCGCGTTCTGAGCCAATGGGTAGGAGAACCCATAGTCGGCGGGATTAATCCCGCTGATTTTCATCTGGAACGCGGCATGCGTGCGAAGTTTCATGGGTCCTTGGCTTCCCATCCTACCATAGCGACGACAACAACCCTGATGCTTCGTCACCCAGAGAAAGAAAAAACAAAAAAAAATGCCTCAGGAAACACCACTGGCACCGTCAAAGACGTTTTTGAACCAAAAAAGGGTTGCAATCCACCTGAACGCTTCTAGCAGCATCACAGGTGCCTCTACACACAAAGAGGGTCGCAAGCCACCAGGGATACCTAGAGGGTTAACTTAGATCGCCTTGGCGATGAACTTGACCGCGTCCTCAACGGTGCCGATCTCTGCTGCCACCTCGTCCTCGATCTCGATCTGCCACATCGACAAGCAGCAAGACAAACATATATGCAGTAAAGGAGCGCGACATGTGGGCGGTGCTATAGCAAAAAAGGGGCGGGAGAGAGGCGGAATGCAATGCTGCTGCGTCCGAAGGCATCCCACAGAAAAACAGGACTGGAGCCGAGCAGCGTGGCGGCCAGGCATCGCAACAGCGGCGGGGGCGAAAATATTTCCTGGCAAACCAACGGTTGAGAAAGTTCAGATGCATGCGTACAAATCGAACTTGGTTCGGAGACATCTTCCCTTCCCGCAACTTTACACACACCGCCGTGAAGAGTAGAGTTTGTTGGAAATGTCGACAACAAAAGCGTCAAACAAATCGACAAACTCGGTAATTCATCCGGCATTAGGTGCTCGAACGAATGAATCCCAAGCCCACAAGGTAGCCTTCTTCAAACAACACGAAATAGACGCGGCGTATAAATTCGTAGAGATGCCGGCAGCACCGACAATTATTGGCAGCACCGACAATTATTGGCAGCACCAACAACCCAGATCGCGCCGCTACCCTCACACATCTAGTTTATCGCTGTGGATGGTGTTGGTGATGCTGTTGCTTGTTACTCTTACCCCGGTCGCCCCCCCTAGTCTGGTTGATATTCTCGCAACCTTCGAGCGACCAGGATCAAGGGTTCGAATCCGGGCGCAAGCGAGTTTTTCTTGCACAGAAAGTGCTCGTTTCTCTCTCTTCCGTTCGTGTGTGTACTTTGAGGGAAGAGAGCGCTGCACTCTTCCTGTCGCGACAAAAACCCAAGGGAAGCACCGCAGGAGGGGCGGCTAGGGGGCCTCCGGGGGAGGAACCCTTCTGTGTGATATGGATTCGAGCTACCTCCCACCCGGCAGGGGTGCTGTGAGCGCTCATTTAAAGCAATGAAAAAACACACACACACACACACACACACACACCGCAAGGTGGTCACCCGTCAGCTCCTCACACACATGCCATGACTGCTGCCCCTTCGTGGGGAGAAGTCGGAAATAGTGTTGCAGCAGTCGTACCGCCGTGCAAGTCATGCCGTATCCCTTGCCAAATCAAGAGACGGCGTTTGTCGTTGTCAAATCGCTCTACGTTGTCGATAGTAGCGCGAGCGGTCACACCCGCGCGTGCACGCGGATCATTTTCGCAATGGTACAAAACACGATGCCGTGTGGTCTTGAATGAAGCCGTGCAAGCAATACCTCACAACGTGGAGTCTGTGTCTTTGCTTGACAGCAGTCGCGTCGCACTAAATACGTATGTCTTGACACTCTGTCCGCGTACAGTGACCCCGACACGCGTCACGAAATACGCCTTGCCGCACGCATGAGTATTTCACTCCCCGTTGGTGCCGCGGCATGTTTTTCTCGCCGCCAGAGAAACCAAAGCCAAATCTTCCCAGCATCGCAACAGCCATTGTTTGTCTTCACCATCACGCGATCTCTGTAGTGTTGAACCGATGCCCCTCTCCCAACTGTCCGAATTGCTGGCTGGAGGTACAACACAGCTATCCCGGACGTGGTGGCGCGAGGGGCACCCGACGGGGGGGGGGGGGGTACGCAGATTACTTCTCGGCATGTTTATCAAACTCTTCGTTGGAAAGTGTGTTGCTGTTTCGGTAATCAATAGCGGTGAAAATATTGCAAGACCGGCAGCGCTCCTTCCTCCGTGATTTTTGTCTTTCTCCCTGCCTGCTCTCGCCCTTCCTGCGAAACACCAGAGGTCACCGCCAGCCCCTCTGGTTACCGATTCAAGCCCCCACGACGACCAAGATGCTGCCGCCGCCGATAGCAGCGGTGGCCACGAAAGCGACGGCGGCGGCGGCGGTAGTATTGACTGCAACGACAACCGTCGCCGTTACGATGACGGGACCAGCGCCGTTGCCAGCTACACTACCTGTAACCTTAGCTTTTGGCCAGCAAGAGCACGGATGGCGCAACAAGCGCACCGACCTGCAACCAAGCCAGATGAAGGGTCACCACATGGCGGCCTAGAGAGAGATCAAGGGGAACAAGCCGTTGCACAACAAGGTGGCACTTTGTGTAACTATGGGCGTATCGGAGGCGACCATAGAGGCGATACAGGAATCGTATCGCCTCTATGGTCGCTTTCGACACGCCCATGGACTCCAAACAGAGCGCCCCCTTGTTTCGTCACGGATCGTTGCCCTTCATGTCCAGGATGGCGCAACGTAGTGGCCGTTCACCTGGCTTGTTTTTAAGCCGCTGCGCTTGTTGCGCCATCCATGCTCTCGCCATCCATGCTCTTTCTTGCTGGCCAAGCGATACACCCATTGACTCTAGACAAAGCGGCACCTTGTATCGCCACGGCTGGTTGCCTGTAACCTCTGAGGCCGCGATGTGGTGACCGTTCATCTGGCTTGGATCCAGGTCGGTGCGCTTGTTGTGTTATCATTGCTCTTGCTGGCCAAGCTAGGGTTAGAGGTACTGAGTAGATGGCAGTGGTGGCGGAGGTAGTATCGGCGGCAACGACAGCCTGCGCCGTCACGATGACGGGACCAGTGCCGTTGCCAGCTACACTACCTCTAACCCTAGGGCCAGCAAGAGCACGGATGGCGCAACAGAGACACCGACTCAAAATCACATCATGAACGGCACCAATAATACGGTGCGGCCCTGGAACTCCAAGAGGAGGAACCATACAATAGCGAAAACGACATGGCACTGTGTCAAGAGTCAATGGGCCTGTCGGAACCTACGATAGAGGCGGCAAGCTCACCACAAGACCCACGTGCGGAAGCCTTAAGGTCGTACGACGGGACCAGCTGGGATATGGAAGCTATATCAAGGCGTCCCGCACGTTGGCCTTGCGGCGAGCGTACCGACTCTACCGTGGGGGTCGACGCGCCCATCGATTCCGGGCATAGCGCCATGTCGTGTCGCCACGGCTTCTCTTGCCTTTGAGCTCCAGGGCTGCGACGTAGGTAGCCGTTCAATCTCGCCTGACTTCAAGTCGCTGTCCCTTGTGTACAGCAGAGGCACAAAAACACAAAAACAATAAGAAACGAGAGAAAAGCCTCGTCGATACTCACGTCAAAACCTTCCTCCAGCGCCATGATGAGCTCCACCGTATCGAGAGAGTCTGCCCCCAGGTCCTGCGTGAACGACGCCGCGGGTACCACCTGCGTCTCGTCTACCGCCAGCTGCGACACCACGATGCCCCGCACCTTGTTCAGGATATCCGCCTCGTCGCCCGCCATGGACAGCGGCGAAACTCCGCCGCGCTGCCGGGCCGCCGTCGCGAAACCGCGGTGTGCGGCGATGCCCCTCGACACGCAGCTTACCGACGGAGCCACAAATGCGGCGCTGACGAACAGCAGACGAACGTTGTTGTTGGGAAGGAGCACAAGACTTGTCACACATCACAGAGCCCCACACGCTCTTGTTGGAGGATAAACCCTGAAAATAAAATACACAACGGCGGGCTTGGGTTCACCTGATCATATATACACCGCTACCGCCGTCCGTGCACGAACTGCTGTGTGACGTGTGAACATGAAATGGAAAGGGCGACTGACCAGAATTGCCGCCACGCTTCTTGAATCGTGTTTTGGTTGTAGGCCAAGATAGACAAGAGTCTACAACAGTCACCACAGCAACGGTCCGACTCTTTCAGACGGCATAACTATTCAACCACAGGATAAAGGGACGACGCAAAAAACAAGCCATCATGAACCAAGGTGGGCGCAAGTTGGTGCTGTTGGTTCCAAGCGTGTGCATATGCAGAGAAGGGCACGCAAAAAAATTCCAATAAAGTTCCCGACAGCATGCCTTGGAATTGAACGGGCGCCCAACATGCTTATCACACCGACGACTATTATAGTCTATACATGCCATTCACAACGCAGTAATAGACAGCAGGCAGTTGAACCGCGAACGATCACAGTGTACCAAAACAAATGATGGCACAAAAATCTGCGAGTATGGAGTATTGGGAATACGAACGTATGCTTCAGAGAGGACGCGCGAAAAGCGCGTCTACAGCAGCTGTTGTTGCGGTTGTTGCCGTTGCGCAGTTGACTAACGCCTAGTACACAGATAATGATTCGAGAAAGTGAGCGTTGCGAGGGAGAGTCGAGCCAGCTGATGGGACGGACGGCGGACAGCGCGGATTAATGCACCATTTCAGCACCGCTCAGACCAAGCTATAACTGCTGTGGACCTCGAAACGAGCTGGAAGTCGAAATTATGTATCTACAGTAGTAGCCCTTGCCATGCTCAACATGGCTGGGTCGGGCAAATTTGGTGGTCAAGACGAGGATGACAAAACCAGGAGAGTTTACCAGCGTATGTATCTAATGCTGCAGCTGCTGCTGTGAGGACGGTCTGCGGTGGGGGAAGAGGAAGGTGCGCACAGCAGCTCTTGGGGCGGACGGAGATGCGCATCGACTGGTCCAGTTGAGAGGTATAGATAGGCATGCAGGCGGCAGGGGGGTGAGGCGCACACGCCCCGTCCTATGTACACTGCTGCATAGCTTGCCTCGACCAGCTGCGGCTGTCGGTAAGCTGGCGGCGTCGGCACATGTTACGCATAGTTGAACGACCAAGATGCTGCTGCCCCTCCCATCACTGATCCACTCGAACCCTCCTGCATCTGACTTTGTGCACGAGACTGCAAAACTCACCTGGTCCCCACACACAAGATGGTGCACACAGCAGAGAGGGATGGCATGATGTTGCAGGCGGGAGATTGGTTGACGGGTAAGGATAGAGCAGAGTGAACGAGTGATGGATGCTGGCTGCGTCGTCGGCGTCGGCCCTGAGGGGGCGCCACGAGCAGCAGACAGATAGCACGGTAGGTACGTACGTATCTACTAAACGAAATATGCGTACCCCCCATGCTCGCAGCTCTTGCGCAGCTTGTGCGGGCCGCCGCTTGTTGCACACACGATAAAGCAAGCCGGGGCAGAAACACATCTAAAGGCCCACCACCACGACGAGGATAACGGTGAGAGCTTTCGCAGGTCAGGCATGCTGTTGTGGACAGGATCGCAGCAATCTCCCTCTCTCACTCTGTGTGTGTGTCTGTAGATCGAAAGACACAGCCTTGTTCTGCTTTGTTTGCCTGTATTCTGCCGCCATGACCGAGCGGCAGTCGTCCCCTCGCTGCCAAACGAACGCGTCGCAATCATAACAATCATCATCTTCCAGCCAAACACGTGTGCAGCACTGCTGTGGCCTTATCATGGCGGGCAACCTTTCGGCTCGCTTTGGCTGCTGGTCTTTCGTTAACTCAGCGACCGTTCAGCGCGCACGCGTGATGAGCACATTTGTTGCCAGCCGGGCAGATGCGGCGATGATGCCATGCCATGCGTTGGTGCCCCACAGGCGGCCGCACCGTTCTTTTCGCTTTTCTTTTTTCTTCTCGACAAAATATCGGAGAAATTTGCGGAGGTGTATAGGATAGTCTAGGCAGTAGTCAGAATTTACCCGCAACTGGGATGCAACGGCCCGGCAGTTGTACAAGAGAGGATGACCGCAGCATTGGCGTGCAGCATAGATGTCGCACGGAGACCTTCTATGCTATGCACCGTCTCCTATATACGGAATTGGGGAGAAGAAGACGTATTGTATGCGCAGGCCTGCCTGCTGCGCGTGATCCGAGTCCTTTGCTTGTATGTACTTAGAAGCTTTTACTATTATAATTGTTCTGTATCAGCTGTTTTCTGCGTAGACCACCACTGGTAGTGTACCAAAGGTTGCGAGTCAGCGCACAGGTGTGCGAACGATTTCCAAAGCGTCACTTCTCCACAACCATGAGGTTACCACTGCTGCTGTCGAACAGGGCGGTTTGGAAGCATCTCATCGAGAGCTTTCCCGACAAGTATCAGTTGGCGCTCGCACCCTCCTCCTGGCGGTGGAGAAATTGCGCTTTGAAAGTCAATTGCACCCCTGTGCGCTGACTCGCAACCTTACGGGTATGTATGTAGTGTGCTACAATATTGTCGGAACGAACGAAACGGCCATCCATTGTTGTATCGACGAAACGCTGCATACAGGTCAGCAGGCACCCACAGATTCCCAGAACAGATGTGAAATGTGAGGGATCCACGCTACAGTATTATAAAACGCACACCTGTCCGCACACCATTTGAAGTAAATCACAGCGGCAGTTCATTCAGTGTGCTCCCGCTCTACGAAGAACTTGGAAGTCACGAAAGTGAGCCTAAATAATGTAAAATCGAACTGGGCCATAAGAACACCTATTATTATGGTCGCCGAGGGGGTACAGCCGTACCCATAGACACGATGACAAGAAACGAGCCTTCGGGAAAAAGAAGAGGTTCTCATATAGAGCTTCTTGTATAAGAGGATGTAAGAGGTTCTTATACAATGTATGCGTGGGGAGCGCGGTCTGTAGTTGTAGATTAAAGGTCGTGTCTGCAAGTTATTTTTTGTGGGCTTGCCGGACGTCTGCGTAGTTATGTTTTGTGGGCTTGCCGGACGATAGATATCTAGCAACGTCAACATCGGCATTTGCTGGTTGGCAGACTGACTGTCAGCAGTACAAAACCCAAGGTAAGTATTGGGAGAGTCATCCCCCAGTCCCCGCCGTTTCTTTTTTGTCTGCCCTTTTCGTTCTGGACAAAGCCAACTGCGTAACAAATTGGGCATCTACGCAGCGACCTGTGTCACGCAGGGGGCCGCCTTAGCGATACCGTTAGCATTGGTGACATGACACAAGGTACCACACCCCCTGCGCCGATTTTCAAAGCCCGACTACCGTATATGACACAAGATAACACACCCCCTGGACCGATTTTCAAAGCTCGATTACTCCACGACGAAGAGGATGCATAAACGAAACAATACATTTTCGAAAACCTCTCGACGAGACGGTTCCAACGCCGCCGTTTTCGGCGCTGTGACTCTTCCTGCTGTTGAGAAATCGAGCTTTGAAAATCGGCCCAGGGGGTGTGTTATCTTGTGTCATATACGGTACTCCACGAAGAAAATGATGTTTCAAACAAAAAAATCAAGAACGAAATGTGACCAAATTACCGTTTCGCATGAAGAGCGGAGATCTTTTGAGATATTGCACGGGGATACACCGCTGTATGCATTCGCACGTTCGTTCTCTTTCTTCTTTTGAATGCGCACACCTATTTACCGCTGTAGAATACCGCTGCTATAGGCGTGATGTTGCGTGTTGTGTGCAGTGTACGGCAATACGGGCCCGCAGCTTAGATTTTTTTCGTTGAGAAACAGAGGCTCAAAATTTGACGAAAAATGAAGAAAATGGTCGACAAGAAATATATCAGCGCTAAATCCTACACTAAACTCTTAAGTACTATTTTCTATTTTCAACCCTGTGGCGATGAAATAAGAACCGAACCTCGACGTTTCTTATGTCCGGATCCGTACAACTGTTATCTCAAGTGACTACTGCTGTAGCGAACTAGTTGAGCTGCAGCAGGCAAAGGCGGCGGTTGGTGGCGGAGGATGTGCATCGCGATAAGCGTTCCTCTCTGGGGTTGCTAACTGACGGCGCTGTAGGTGCCCAGAGTCAATCGAGCACCTCGCTTTCGTGCTCACTGACATCTGCTTTGTAATCTACTTAACCTCAGCTTCGACCTTCTACACCCACCGACGCCCTCAACACCCCCCTGATTTTTTTATTCCTGCCTGCTGTCCCCCTCTCACTCAGAAGTTGTAAACTTCACCAACGGGGGGCGGCGACCCCAGTCCACCTATAATAGTTGCGCCTGGCAGAAGTTCGCTGCGGCTCCCTTCCCGAGATGAGCACCGCTGCCGATGGAGGAAAGCCGAAGGTCGCCGCCACCACACCACCTTCGTCGACATCAACCCGGCGGAAGACGGCTCTGGACTTTAACCTTCCGAAGGGAGACCATTTTTTCCTCAACTCCAGGAAGCAGCGGCTGCACCTGCGCACGTTCCTTCCCGAGACAGGCAAGGGAGAAAGGAGCGTTTGATATCCGACGCAGGCAGGGATCCCACTCATTTATTGTTTGTTTTTGACGTCGACCGTGAGAGTCAGTTCGTCACCCGATTTCACCCACCTGTCTCTCCGTCGCCACGGAGAACAATATTTCTGCAGAGTTTCTTGAGACAGTGTGTCCACCGAGCTTGTTGTGTACGTTGAGACGGAATCTCTTTTCACGTCCTCCGAATTCACATGCTCGGAGTTGGAATGGTACCTAATGTTGAAGTGGGATATATGTTTCCAGGTCAAACGACGACATTATCTCAGCCCGGGCCGTGTGTTTGTGTGTGTTTGTGTGTATTTGTTATTATTACCAGCATCGACCGCGCTAACCGGCTAACCAATGAAAACGCGTCAGTCTCGGTGCGGTTGAAAGCACAAAAACACTTGTATGGGCCATTAACTGGGACCCCGTCAGGGGCCAGCATGGGGGAGACTAATGTGTATGTGTATGTGTGTGTTTATGTGTTTTGGCACTATCTCAGGCGTCGAGATGAAGGCCCTTTTGTTTTGGTACCACGGCTACGCTGCCCACATCAACGGCCCCACTTTCCGGGAGTTCGCGGAGGGCATGGCAGCCGGCGGGTACGCCGTGATCGCCGTCGACCAGCATGGCCACGGGTACAGGTGCGTGGCGTGGCGGGTGCCTCACGTCGATAAGGTTGTTAGCACGAAGTACTTGAAGGTATCGTTTTCTCGTAAAATATAACCACTCGGAGTATTGATTTCGTCTTGATACTTCGTACTATCATAATACCACAACGAACCCATCTTTATCCTAATATAAAGGGTCTAGGATGTTTTGCGATGTAATGACAGCGTCATTTGCTCGTTTTTCAAGCAGAACCAAGCAGCACCAGGTTTGTCAGTCATGCGGTGGTGCTTGACAGCAGTGTGATTGACGGGGCAGGTGTTCGCACTTGTGTTGTGGAGATGTTCCTTGTTGCACTTGTGTTGTGGAGATGTTCCTTGTTGCACTTGTGTTGTGGAGATGTTCCTTGTTGCACTTGTGTTGTGGAGATGTTCCTTGTTGCACTTGTGTTGTGGAGATGTTCCTTGTTGCACTTGTGTTGTGGAGATGTTCCTTGTTGCACTTGTGTTGTGGAGATGTTCCTTGTTGCACTTGTGTTGTGGAGATGTTCCTTGTGGTTGAAATGTGTAGTTGTCGTTGTCGATATGCTGTCCCCAAACCCGAAAAAGAATCACGGACACGGTTGTTTGTTTTTGTATGGCTGGTTTGTCTGCTGCTGTTGCCCTTTTCTCGACTATCTTGTCGACTCACTGCTTGTTTTGGGCGCTCCCTCGTGCTCTCACGGTGCTTCGCGCTTGGTGATGTGAGAGCCTGGTCCGGTGAGAACCCGGCGTGCTCCGTCCCGGCTTTGTAGGGATGCGAGGTCAATGGTCTAACGACTACGGCATGCACGACTATGAGTACAACCCCCCCCCCCCCCCAAAAAATGCGGGGATGTTTGATGGGGAAATTTCCAAATACCTGGATATACTCCCAGGAGTCCCACAGGGATGTTCCAAGTCCCCCCCTCCCTTTTAGAATTACCTCCACGATTTTATAAAGGCGGTTGAAACCATAAAAAAGGGAGTCCCAATAAGGGGAAAAAATGTGTCCCGAACGATGTTTTCAAAATAATTCCTGGG